CTATAGTCTATTCTATAGTCTAGTCTATAGTCTATTCTAGTCTATAGTCTATTCTAGTCTATAGTCTATTCTATAGTCTAGTCTATAGTCTATTCTAGTCTATAGTCTATTCTAGTCTATAGTCTATTCTATAGTCTAGTCTATAGTTTAGTCTATAGTCTAGTTTATAGTCTAGTCTATAGCCTAGTCTATAGTCTAGTCTATTGCGTAGTCTATAGTCTAGTCTATATCTCGATGTATTACAAACAGAACGATAAAATCAAAATGATAATACATATTTACAATTGCTTGGCTACAATAGCTCGTGATCTACCAAAAAGTGTTCATAATCTATCTGTGCCCATCAATATGTTTTACATGTGTGTTTGTATGTTGAACAAAAATTTATTCACTATCACGATTTCTATCAACAGTTTATTTTTTACTCCGGCTCAAAATACTACTAAATAATTACTCATGTTAAAAATATTAATAAATAAAAGTAATTAAATAGAAAACGAAAAAAAAAAAAAACAAGAAAAAACTACTGACAGCGGTGGGATTCGAACCCACGCCCTTTCGGACTGGTGCCTAAAACCAGCGCCTTAGACCGCTCGGCCACGCTGCCTGTTGGCCACCACAAGCCAATTGTATGTTTTGTCTTTAGACTCTAGCAAGCTATTGCAAGTTTTATCATGTTAGGCAGAACATCTAAAGAAAGCTTTTAATAAAACACATGTATTTTGTATAGTATAAGCTAAAGCTTTAGTATTAAATGTTTTATACTAATTACATTTGAAAAGTAGAGCATATGTTAAGGGTCAAAGAAAATGAAAACAAATTGCTTATAAATGAAATAGAAATAAATAGAAAATTTTGAATAAAATAATTTAAAATTTTATTAAATTAAATTTTTTTTTTTTTATAAACATAAAGAAAATTTTTTCCGGTGGCACCCTTGTAATGAGATAATATTTGGTCTCTGAAATCACCCTTTTGGATATTTAACTATGTATTTTGAAGAGGAATTGTTTATTTATTGATCATTTTCCCAAAAATCGAGTATTTTGATTTTTGGTGATAAAAAAATCGATTGTTTTTACATGATGTTTTAATACGAATAATAATAATCATAATAATAAAAAACAAACGATTATTTATTGTAATTCCTTAATGCTGAAAATGCAAGTGATTTTCATTTAACAAACATCTTTCTTTTATTACAATTTGATGCCTTTATCGTTAAACATCACATCACCATCGTCATCATCATTTAGGGGGTTGTTGTTATAAATAAAATTATTCATCCATCCATCAGTTGTAACATTTAAATATTTACTTTTATAAAGAACAAACAAACTAAAATTTTTATGTCTTTATTATATTTTTATTTGACTGTGAGTTCATTGTTGTTTGCACAGCGTTACACTGTGAGGTCATGTGTCACAAAAGGTTTGAGTGTCTCAACATTTGACACTTTTACTTTAACTAAATGTTTCCTTTAGTTATTTTATTTTTTATGATTTCTACTACTTGATTCAGTTTTTATAACCTTTATAGAAGATTTTACTACTTTGTATTTTTATGACTCGTTTTTTTATATTAAACGTGTTAGAAGTTCGATTTTAACAACTAGATTTTGCATTATGAATGAGCTCAACATAAAATGTAAGGAACTACTACTCTGTACTAGAGAGAAAAGAAAAAAATAATGGGACCAACTATTGTTATACAAAAATTAAAAAAAAAAAAACATTTTTAATTTAATAAATTGTAGTATGACTATCTAAATAGAATTGAAAAAAATGTAAAATTATTAAATAATAATAAAAATAAAAAAATACTGACAGCGGTGGGATTCGAACCCACGCCCTTTCGGACTGGTGCCTAAAACCAGCGCCTTAGACCGCTCGGCCACGCTGCCTGTTACCCCCATTTTGTTAATGAGAAATTTGCGAAAAATTCTTTTAAATTGTACATAATTGCAAAAATTCTACTGTCATGTAAGCAATAAATAATCGAAAATAAATTCTATAAATAGCAAAATATTATATAATTTACTATACGAAGTAATTGCCAACGAAATTTAATGCAAAAGCTTGTTAAAAATAGGGAAATATGCAATTTATTCATTAAGAACTTATTACAAATAAATTCTTAAACAAGTAAGAATTTTCTGTCGGGCATTGCCGACCATATGATAACCTACACCAGTGATTATGTTACAAATTTTTAATCTTTTTTAATAATAAAGTATTTAATTTAATTTTATCTTAATTCAGAAATATTTTAACAATTTGTTGACAAAAAAGGGATTTTCTGAAATTGAGGTTATATGGGAGGCAGGGGGTTAATGTGGTCCTATCCTTATAAATTTTCGTAGAGGGATTTACGTCTACATCAGTTATGTATGCAGAATATCATCGTGATATTACTGTTTATGAATGGGACTTTGTATGGGGGATAGTATCAAATGAGCAGTATCATTAAGACTTATATAAAACTAAGTTTGGCTGATTTTTGAAGTGATACAAGAAAATTAAATATATTTATGAGCTCAAAAGCACTATTCGGTTTAAACCATTTTCAATAAGACCTTGGGTCAAAATTAGAGTATGTGCTAAATTTCATGAAAATATCTTGAAAATAGCGACCTGTAGAGTGCGCACAAGGTTTACATGGACACACAGATGGACGGACATAGCTAAATCGACACAGAATGTGATTCTGAGGTGGGTGTGGGACTAATATTTTTGTGTGTTACAAACATTACCACAAACGCATAATACCGTCTCCACTGTAGTGGTGTAGGATATAAAAATAGAAATACATACATGTATGCAGGTATATTCCTGAAAATTTATAATAAATTTTCGAGATTACTTTAAAAATTAGTTAAAAAGAGAAAAGAGAAAAAATTTTCGTGAAGTTCACTTTAAAAACAAGTTGAGTTAAAGCGATTCTATAAACAATATTAAAAGATATAAAATTATAGACAAAGTTAGTAAGATAGAAATTTACGAAAAGAGAATAAAATCTCGAGAAATTTATCAAAAAAGTGCAAATTCTTTAAAAAATTTACTAAAAGAGAGTAAATTTTTGAAAAAAATTACTAAAAGAAACTTGAAAAAACAGAATAAATTTTTGAAAAAATTTTTAAAAGAGAGAAAATTCTTGTAAAATTTAAAAGTGAGTAAATTTTTGAAGAAATTACTAAAGAGAGTAAATTCTTGAAAAATTTACTAAAATAGAATAAATTTTTGAAAAATTTACTAAAAGAGAAAAAATTCTTGTAAAATTTACTAAAATTTACTGAGTAAATTTTTGAAGAAATTACTAAAAGAGAGTAAATTTTTGAAAAATTTTCTAAAAGAGAGAAAATTCTTGTAAAATTTAAAAGTGGGTAAATTTTTGAAAAATTTACTAAAATAGAATAAATTTTTGAAAAATTTACTAAAAGAGAGAGAGTAAATTTTAAAGAAATTTATTAAAAGATAGTAAATTCTCGAGAACTTTACTGAAAGAGTGTAAGTTCTTATAAATGTTACTAAAATTAAATAAAATAAATTCGCCAACTATTTGCTAAAAGAGAGTAAATCCGCGAGATATTTACTAAAAGAGACTAAATTCTCGATAAATTTGTTAGAAGAGAGAATATATTCCAGAAGTTTACTAAAAAAGGAAATATTCAAAGAATATACTAAAGGAAAGTATATTTATTAGAAAGGATTTAATATTAGATAAAAATTGCAAAAAAAAAATATTTAATTTTAGAAAAATTTATTAAAAGGGAGTAAATTCTTGAGAAATTTACTAAAAGTGAATAAAATAAATCGAGAAAAATCTACTTTAAATTCTTGAGAAAAAATGAGAGTAAATTCTTCAGAAATTTATCAAAATAGAGAAAATGTTCGAACATTTGCTAAAGGAAAGTAAATTTTGAGAAATTTACTAAAACCGTGTTAATTCTCGAGAACTTTACTTAAAGCGTGTAAATGCATGATAAAAGTTCTAAGAAGTGTAAATTTGTTTGTAAATTGTTTTCGAAAATCGATTGATAGGACCTATGTGCATTAGGGTCATAACTTATATAAAATTTTTGAAAATTTCAAATCGGCTCTATCCATTCCATATAGGGTATAAAAAAAGTACCTCGAAAAAGTATATCGCTTTTTCGCGAGCGTTAAATTTTCCGCGGCAAATGCTTTATAGTTTCTAAACAAAATTTGAAATTTTTTAATACAAATTCGGAAATTTTCGATATAAACATGTGTCATTGTTTGACCCACGACATTTACACGGAGAAAAGGCAAGGATAGGAGCTGCGGCTTATCCCTCTTCAAAATTTAGTACACAAACTTGTAGATTATACTATTTAAAGTTCAAGATAAAAAAGGTTTCGTTATTAAAACATTACTGGTTATAGGGCCTAATTTTGGTTATCACCCTAATGTACATATGTATAAGGAGTAAACTAACATTTCTAAATGTTAGTTGGTCACATTATGTTTTATTTTTTTTTTTTTATTCTGCATTAACTTAAGATTTGTGGGAAATATTTTATGCAAAATTTCCATCAATGTTATTGCAAATATCATAAAAATCTCCATAAAAAACATATTTCTATAGAAGCAAAATCCGAATCATAAGATTTATAACATGTGATAAATTTTGTTTTAGATAAAATGTTAAAAATGTTGCTTTCGTTTTTGTTAAACCCTAGAAAAAGGAATTAAGCATGATTTTTTATGGCACCTTTTGTAAAGAAATGTTTCCCACCCAGTAGACCCCAATATTTTCTGATCTTATAAATAGATTTTATATGGGGTTTTTCAGCTGACAAGGGTTTAATTTATTTCGTACAAAAATTTTTAATTGATTTTACCAAAAATTTTCCATTACTCTAGTTTTTAAACATAGATTACAAAGACATTACTTACTGCATTACCTTCTAATAAGTAGGTTTCAAACTTAGTATTACTATTGGCTAACTAACTTATTAATAATATACACAGTTATAATTTATATTAAACAAAGTATTTATTTAAAAAATTCTTCACAAACTTCTTCGAAATAAGTTTACAATTTTTCAGCTACATGAACCAAAGCACCAGCGACCTCTATAACCTTTCCAGCGGTTTCAACATCTTGAACAACTTTATAAACTTTATAAGCTTTCTTGGCCACTTTTTCCTTGATAATTAAAAAAATAATAAAATAGAAATATGAATATGAAATATGATTGTTAAACTAAATGTTTTTTATTACCACCAAATAAAATAATTATTAAAACAATTTAATTATTAAACAAACTTACTATTTTATGACCCGCTTTGTGAACATCATTTTCCTAAATTTATAAAAAAGTTTAATTTAAAATAAATGTTTAAAAATTTATTTTGTTTTTGGAAACTATATATTTTATATGTATATTTACCGCTTTATGCTTAATATTGTCCTGAAAGCAAAAATCATATAAATATTATTGTCGCCGATATTTGGCATTTTAAATAAAGAACACTTACCACTTTTTCGTCAACTTCATGGGCATCTCTTGCCTTTTAATTAATAAAGAAAATATTATAATTTTTTCAGTATTTGTTGTTTAAATATTTAACTTTAAACTTACCACATCACGTTTCAGATCTCCAAAAATACTATGACCCTGGGCAGCATGTTGACACAAAAGTCCCAAGATCACTATTATGAAAATGGCAAAATATTTGTTAAAGTTCATAGTATTCGGTTTTTGGGGTTCTTTACTATAATTTGCAAAAATACAAACTGTTAAAAGTACTTTAATAAAATATTGTTTATATAGTAAAATTTTAATATCAAATAATGGCAAAAAGTTGTTCTGAATTTTAGGCTTTAGAATATATTAATTGTGGCAAATTTTATATAATATTCTGGGGATTAAGGGTTAAATATTTTTTATTAATATATGTATAACAAATAGGTTGAATTAGCATAATTGATGAATGTGTTTAGTCATTGGTTAAGTATTTTACAGTTAAGTATATTTTTTTAAAGACCTGAGCGTCCATAACTCAAGCAGAAATTACAATTCTCTTTAATGTTCTATTAACAGCAATATTTTTCTATAACTTTAAAATTACTTTCCGTACTAGACCTAAACTATTTCAAAATAGTTACGTCTACATTAAAGTTATTTATGTAGAATATTATGGTGATATTAGTATTTATAAGTGAAGCCCTATTCGGGGTGTACAGTTGTATGGATGCTATACGAAATAATGGACCGATTTTAACCATTTTCAACAGACTTCCTCCTTGGGTAGAAGAGCATGAAATTTCATTAAACTATCTCGAAAATTGACATACAGACGGACGGGCAGATGAACATATGGTATACTTTAAGGTGAGTGTAGGACCAATATTTAGGGTGTAGGATATACAAAAAATAAAGTGCAGAATCGGACAGTACATATATGCGTGACTTCCCGACTTAGTTCAACTTCATTGTGTTTATGATACAATACTTGTACCAAATTTTATATGGATATCTTAAGTTAGTAATGAGTTATGCCCGTTTAAGTGATTTTCGGGAGGGGACCTTGTATGGGAGCTATGACCAATTATGGACTGATCCAAAAAACTTTAATAGTAATATTTCTGTATATGTGAGAAATACTTGTACCAAATTTTATATGGATATCTTAACTTTGTAATGAGTTATGTGCGTTTAAGTGATTTTCGGGAGGGGACCTTGTATGGGAGCTATGACCAATTATGGACCGATCGGAAAAAAATTTCTCAATAATATTTCTGTGCATATGAGTAATACTTGTACCAAATTTTATATGGATATCTTAATTTAGTAATGAGTTATGCGCGTTTAAGTGATTTTCGGGAGGGGACCTTGTATGGGAGCTATGACCAATTATGGACCGATCGGAAAAAACTTTCACAGTAATATTTCTATGCATATGGGCAATACTTGTACCAAATTTGATATGGATATCTTATTTAAGTAATGATTTATGAGCGTTTAAGTGATTTTCGGGAGGGGACCTTGTATGGGAGCTATGACCAATTATGGACCGTTCAGAACAAAATTTCTCAGTAATATTTCTGTGCATATGAGTAATACTTGTACCAAATTTTATATGGATATCTTAATTTAGTAATGAGTTATGCGCGTTTAAGTGATTTTCGGGAAGGGACCTTGTATGGGAGCTATGTCCAATTATGGACCGACCCAGAAAATTTTTCCTCTGTATGAATTCTATTGACATAAGATTTTAATTTGTAAAATTTTGTGAAGATATCGACATTGTGACGGAAGTTATTAACAAAAAACCCATTTTCCGGGAATATGTACTTTTGTATGGAAGGTATATGAAATTGTGGACCGATTCAGAAAATTTTATGCAGGGATCAAGCTCTTGTGTAGAAACGAATGTTTGGTAATTTTGGAATGGAATTATCTTGCATAGTTTTCGAGAAAATTACATCAGAATGTGTAAAAAATGCTTATTTTTTTCGAGGTTGTTTTAAATTTTGATTCATAACGTTTCCCGGTGTGAACCGATTTTGCCCATTTTCAATACCAAACAACTTAGGAAAATGAAGAACATTTTGGGTGAATTTGGTTAAACTCTATTGCTTCGTTTTATCGTGAGCGTGATTTACACAGACAGACGGACATAGCTAAATCGACTCAGAATTTGATAAGGACCCAGAATATATCGAGGGACTATATTCAATAGTCTCTATCTAAAATAACACAAGTTTTCAGGAGAGCAAAAAAACTGTTTATTTAGCTAGTTCGTGAAGATTTTTGAATTTTTTCTTCTACAATATATTTTTACGACCATATTCTAAATCGTTACATAAAAAGAATTTAAAATTTTGCATTATTTGCAGAATTATTCACAACTTTATATCAGATAGAGCTTTTTTATACGAAATTTTTTTTACTACCTTCAGATAGAGAGTTTTTCATAGAAACATAAATTTTTTATTTAATTTAATATCAATAAATATTACATTTTATGCAATTTAATGAAATAATAGAAACCAAATTGTTGAAAAAGCAACAGATTATAAGGTTTTGGTCCAAAATCAATGTTATATGGTTAAACACGGCAATAAAATTAATCAAATTAGTATCATAATGTGCGATATCTCGAAAACTATTAAACCGATTTCAAATATTTTTGCGAATTTGTGTTCTGCATGTCCAAATTAGTAAAACCGCTTGTTTTTCAACAGAAAATTATCCAAAATAATAGAGTTTGAAGCAATTTTTGGATGAGATAGAGAGTTTTGCATTCAGAATTTTTCTTTTTATAAGATGGAGAAATTTAAAAATTGCTATATAATTGCCAAAAATTATTTTTTTCTTTTAAAATTTATGTCACTGATGCGGGATAGTTTGCTGGATATTTTGCCACCAAAATCTTATTTTCATAAAAATGACAGATAGAGACTATTGAATATAGTCCCTCGATATATACTTTTTTGGGTCTCAGATGAATATTTCCTGGTGTTACACACGGCATGACAAAGTTATATATACCCTCTATCACCACTGATGGTGGTGGAGGGTATAAACACGGTCAATAATTAACCATATCTCTCATATAAAATCCTCTTCAGTTAATTTGATGAGTAATATCACCCTGTTGTTTATAGGGAAGCATTCCTTTTACGGCATACAGTTTGATAGTGGGTGTATGAGATTCGACACAGCCGAATATAACACTCCTACTTGTTTAAATTTAATTTCTTTTTCGATTTTTTGTCTAAGTGAGTCAAATAATTAATATAGATAGAATGTATAGATTCCGAGCTTTCATTTGATACCAGCATCATATAACACACATAAACAATTAAAATATTCGTTTGAAATTGTAAGCACTTTCAACTTTGAAGTCCTTTTTATAAGGACTAATAAAAATCGGAGTAACAGGGTGTTAGGTAAGTACTTACAATAAGCATGCAAACAGGGAGTTAAGTAAGTAGTTTGTGTTAAAAACAAAGTTCGATGACATCGGTTTCAAAAGTTTGGTCGGTCACTTGACATGAATATGGGGATATTCATATATTTTTTGCAGCAAACTTCCAATATCATTGCTTTGTTTATTTAACAAAAAAAATTTTATCAACTGATCAAAATTAGTACCTAACATCCCCAAATAAATACCAAAAAGTTATAATGCACTTGTCATAGTTAATATAGTCGTAAGACCCTAAAACATTTTAACCAATTCCGCAATTATTCAATATTTTTGATAATAAAAACAATGCAAAAACAAGTGAGAATCTATAGTCGGTCACGGCCATAGGATACCCTACACCAGTTTGTATGTTAAAAATTTGATTATTTTGAAGAATAACGTATTGTTGACAAAAAAGTAATTTTATGGACGAGAGGTTATATGGAGCCAAGGGGAAATATGAACCTATCCTTATAAATTTTCATAGAGGGATTTATTTTAACATTAAAGTTATTTATCCAGAATTTCATCGTAATGTCATTTTCTGAAGGGGACTTTATATGAGGGCTAGAATCAAATGAGGCCCGTTCCTTACGAATATCAGCAGTATTATTTTGACTCATATAAAACAAAGTTTTGTTGATTTTTGTACAGATACTAGAACAGTTAACATAATTATGGGCTTAAAGGACATATTCGGGGGTTACGGTTGTATGGTGGCTAGGTGTAATAATGAACCAAACGTTTGTGCAAAATTTCATCAAATTATCTTGAAAATAGTGACCTGTAGTTTGATTACTAGGTTTACGGACGGTCATCGGCTCATAATCAGAAAATGATTATGAGCCGATTAGTATACTTTAAGGTAAGTGTAAAGCCAATATTTCTATGCGTTACATACATCAGCACAAACCCAATATACCCTCCCCACTAAAGTGGTGTAGGGTACATATAATAATACAAAATTTTTGTATTTAAAGAAAATTTAGACCTCGATATTTTAACAGTTTGTATTTGTACAAATCATAGTAAACAACAAAAACCATGAACTTTAACAAATATTTTGCAATTTTCGTCATTGTAGTCTTGTGCCTTTTAGGCCAACAGGCTGCCAAGGCTCATAGCATTTTTGGAAATTTGAAAAAGGATGTAGTAAGTTGCATTGAAAAGTAATAAAAATTAAAATTTATTAAAATTAAACATTTTATATAGGAAAGTGGTGCTCATAAAGTGGGTGCTAAATTGGTGAGTTCTTATATATATATTTTTTTAAATAAATAATCTAGAATAATTTGTTATATTTTTAGGATAATGTTGGCGATAAAGTGGTAAATATATAATCGTATCATATTTTAAAACGATGTATAAGAAGTTAATATAAATTTAACTGTTTCTCTATAGGTAAGTGATGTCCATGAAACTGGTGGTAAATTGGTGAGTTTTATTTAATTTATTACCTTTTTTAAGTATAATCCCGAATAATTCGTTTTATTTCTAGGTCAATATTGGCGATAAAATGGTAAATACTTGATCTCTTAAAAGTTTGGAATTATTATAAGTTAATTCAAATTTTACTTTATTTTTTTCCAATAGGAAAGTGATGTTCATGATACTGGTGCCAAGTTGGTAAGTTTCAGTTAAATTACTTTTCTTATATTATAATAATCTTTGATTTAATTTTTAGGTTAATACTGGTGAAAAAGTGGTAAATAATAAAAATGAATACTATATCTTAAACTTGTGCAAATAATATAAATTTATTTAAATTATCTATTTAAACTAAAGGCAAACGAAACTCAAGAAGTGGGATCTGAATTGGTGCGGTTTCTGTTGAATTATTGAATTAATAATGTAAAAGTTTTAATGGACATTTTTAATTATTTCAGAAAAATGATGGCAAACAAGTGGTTAAGACGGCCAAGAAAGCTTATAAGGTCTACAAAATCGCTAAAACTGTTCAAACAGCTGGAAAGGTTATAGGAGCAGTCGGCACTGTTGTTGGTGTAATTCAAAATGCCTAATTGTTATAGTCTTTGAATACGAAGTATTTTTTAAATATTGTTTTAAATAAAGAAATATATTGATTATTGCAAATTATAAAAACATATATACATATTTTGTTTATTAAACAAAAAGAAAAAGTTTTTCAAAACCAAATTTAAAAGCTTTCAACCATCCCAGTAAAAACTTTCATTACCATGTAAGGGGTTAAAGTGCTAAAATTTTCTTACACAATAGATTTTTAAGTAATTATTTTAACACGGCGATGTCATTGGAGACAAGTACTTACCTCAAACGATTACAAGTAATTAGAAAAAGTAGTCATTGTAAATCACATGAAAAAACGTATACAGCATCTATATCTTCACTGGCAAGATGACTAATGAATTAGTATTTACATATATAACACATTATTAGTAAGACCTTATTAAACTACTTCTATGTAATCTAGACCATATGTTGTAGTCATTGAAAAGTATGTTGTTAGATAAGTAATTACAATTGAAAGCCAGAAGAAAGAAGGACTTGAGACAAAATTTGTTGAAATAACTAGTTGCTGGGTTGTTTCGGAATTTTTTTAAAAGGAAACTTCTCGAAAGAATGTTTGATAGAATTATTGAAGATTCGGATATCGCAGATATCTGGGCTCTTATGAAAAGTGATTTAAACATACATTACATTATATTGTAGAAATTACATACGGAATGACAAATTTCTCACGAAGGTATACCCTTCACCTTCAAAAATACGTGATTTTCCCTAAATAATATATGAAGGGTGAAGGGTATAAAAATACGCGATTTTCCCTAAAGTTGTTTTGAAACATATTCTGGAATCACAACAATGTTCCACAGAACGGGTTCCAGAAGTAATGGTGACAACACTAGTACTAACACACTACTAACAGAAAGACACTTTTTATAGCCACCATAAAAAAAAGATGATCGATTTTGTCATTCCGTTTGTAACACATCGAATTATTGGTTATAGACCCACAAAAGTATTTATATTCTGGGTCCTTATTGAATTCTAAGACGATCTAGCTATGTCTGTCCGTCCGTTTGTCTGTCTGTTGAAAGCACTATAGAGTCCGAACGGAACGAGCTAGAGAGTTGAATTTTCCACAAATATACTCTATAGGTAAGGTTTGTTTGGTATTGAAAATGGGCAATATCGATCTACGTTTTTAGATTGCCTCCATACAAGTGGACCCCCGAAAAATATTATTAACGGGCATATCTGTCTTATAAGTACGAGTAAAGCGATGAAATTCGACTCAAATAAGTTTCATATGATCTAAAATCTCCCTACCAAATTTTATGAGGATCGGTCCATAATTGACATATAAGGTCCCCTTCAGAAAATTGCTTTAATGCTCATTACTGGCTTAAAAAATACGAGTATAGTCATGAAGTTTCAATGAAGCCAAAATCTCTCTATCAAGTTTTATGTGGATCGGCCCATAGTTGACCCTAACCCCCATATAAGATCCCCTTCCAAAAATTACTTTAACGCTCATTACTGGCTTAAAAATTTGACAATAAGTCTCTTATGATCTAAAACCCCTCTACCAAATTTTGTGTGGATCGGTCCATAATTGACCCTAACCCCAATATAAGGTTCCCTTCAAAAACTGATAATAACGCTCATTATTGGCTTAAAAATACGAGTATTGCGATGCAATTCGACACATATAAGTTTCATGCGAGCTAAAATCTCTTTATCAAGATTTATGTGGATCGGTCCATAGTTAACTCTACCCCCCATTTAAGGTCCCCTTCAGAAAATTACTTTAGGGCTCATTACTGGCTTAAAAATACTAGTGTAGCAATGAAATTTGGCATAAGTAAGTAAGTAAATCCCTTATGATCCAAAACCTCTCTACCAAGTTTTATGTGGATCAGTCCATAATTGACCCTACCCCCCATGTTAGTTCCCGTACAAAAAATTACTTTAACGATTATTAGTGACTTAAAAATACGAGTACTATAGAGAGAGAGAGATGTTATAACAGGGTTTGTCAAGGAGGGAGTCAGAATTCAGAGTCAGACAGCTGAATTAAAAATATAGAACCAAAAAAGCTGAACCCAACTAAAATACTCCTCAGAATGAGCAAGTCCCAGACTTGTATGATTGTATGTATTCTGAGTGTTCATGCAAGATTACGATAAAATCAACACAACTGGATTCAGAATAATATAGAGCATGCGAAGAAGAGAGTGAAACTTTGAACCACTTTATCTACCATTACCAGGCTTTCGTCTAAGTTAGATCTATATATTTTGGGACTCAAGTTATTTCAGACATTAAATCTCTCAAAAACAATGATTGGAGAATTATTTTCAGAAAACAGAGTTTCTGGATTAATCTATACGATTTTTCAACTAACAATTACCAGGCAAAGGAACGCACAACAGGCCCTAAAGCGGGCTAGTTGTATTGTATTGTTCTTTGAATCTAACTTTCTATAAGATAAAAAAAGCTTTCTTTATTTAACATAAAACTGAAAATTTTATGAATTAATTAAAATTAATACCTACAACTATTTTAGTAGATAAGATTCCCAAATAAATATCAAAATAAATTTAATGCATTTGTCACCGTTAAAATTTAGTTGTAAGACCCAAAATCATATAGCTTTAACTATTTTGCGATTATTCATATATTTTGATAATAAGAGTAAAAATAATAAATTCCTTCATATTCAAAAATTTTCTATATAAACAAAATGCAATTCGCGAAATTTCAACAGTTTGAATTTTACAAATTTAGGGCAACATTTAAAATCTAAAACCATGAACTTTAACAAATATTTTGCCATTTTTGTCATTGTGGTCTTGGGCCTTTTGGCTCAACAGACTGTTAAGGCTCATAGCATTTTTGGAGATTTGAAAAAGGATGTGGTAAGTTGTATTGAAAAGGAATGAATTTTCCATAGAAATTTATTAAAATTAATTTTTATTTTTGTAACTAGGAAAAAGAAGCCCATAAAGTTGGTGCTAAAGTGGTGAGTTTGTTTAAATAAAATTCGTGTTAAACGAATAATCTAGAATAATTTGTTCTATTTCTAGGAAAATATTGGCGATAGAGTGGTAAATATATAATCCTATAATAATTTAAATCTATGTATTAGAAGTTAATATTAAATTTCACTTTTTTTCTATAGGTTAGTGATGTTCATGAAACTGGTGGACAATTGGTGAGTTTTATTTAATTTATTACTTTTTTTTAAATATAATCACGAATAATTTGTTTTATTTCTAGGTCAATATTGGCGATAAAATGGTAAATACTTGATCTCTTAAAAGTTTGTAATTACTATGAGTTAATTGAAATTTTACTTTATTTTTCTCAATAGAAAAGTGATGTTCAAGATACTAAAGCCAAATTGGTAAGTTTCAGTTGAATTATTATTATTTTTTTTTTTTTGAAATTATTCTAACATTTTGTTTAATTTTTAGGTTGATTCTGGTAAAAGTGTGGTAAATATTTAATATAACAAAAAAACGATATCCAAAACTTGGCGAAATTTTTATTTAATCAAATAAAATTTTATTTTTTTTTCTATAGGTAAGCGAAGTTCATGATGTGGGCTCTGAATTGGTGAGTTTCTGTTGAATTAATGAATTAGTATTATAAAATTTCTAATTTATATTTTTGTTATTGTTTTAGAAAAATGATGGCAAAGAAGTGATTAAGACGGCCAAAAAAGCTGTTAAGGTCTACAAAATCGCTAAAACTGTTCAAACAGCTGGAAAGGTTATAGGAGCAATCGGCACTGTTGTTGGTGCAATTCAAAATGCCTAAATATTTTCTTCTTTAAATACGAAAAACCTTTTTGAAGATTGTTTTTAAATAAAGAAATCTATTGATTATTGCAAATTATAAAAATACCAATATTTTATTAATAAAAATGAAGAATTGTTTCAAAAAGAAATTTAGAATGTTATATTCGGCTATATCGTATCTTAATCTATTTAAAAATAATTTCAAAACAACACAAATACTAAACGTTGTTGTACTCAAAAATTTCAGAGGTTGTCTCAGATTTTTGTTCATATCTCTATTATTTGAGGACCGATTTTTCTGAATTTATCTTTGATATTATTATAGATTTAGATCACAAAGATATCTGGGGTCTTGAGAAAATTAATTTCAACAGACAGACAGACGGACATGGCTTAATCGACTCCGCTATCTATAAGGATCCAGAATATACATATATACTTTATAGGGTCGGAAAATTATATTGTAAAAATTACAAACAGAATGACAAACTTCTAACTATTATATGTGAACCGACTTTATTATAAATATAATCAAATAAGCAAGAAGTTATAGGCGGGCGAGGCTGAAGTTATAATACCCTACACCAGTTATAAAAATAAAATGTGATTTAGTTTTCACTTAAGCCATTTACTGTTGAATAAAATTGTGGACATTTAAGTCATATTTGTATAGGGACTAGGGTCAGATGAGGCCTATAATTATAAAATTCAAAAGGGTCATCAAGGCTAGTATAGAACTTGGTTTTGCAGCTTTTTGTCGTGATACGAGTATATTAATAATCAGTTGTACGGGGTCTAGGTGAAATAATGCACCGATGTTAACCATTTTCAATAGCCTTCGTCTCTAAAACAATAGAAGATCATGTGCGAAATTTCATTGAATTATCTTCAAAATTACGATCTGTAGTTTGATTACAAGGTTTACAAGCCTTATTCGGGGGTTCAGTTGTTTGTTGTTAAGATAATAGACCGATGTTAATCATTTTCAATAGGCTTCGTCCCGTGGATAATAGAAGATCATGTACGAAATTTCATTTAATTATATTCAAAATTGCGATCTGTAGTTTGATTACAAGGCTTACATGGACAGATGGTCAGACGGACTGACAGACGGACGAACATAGCTAAATCAACTCAGAAAATGATTCTGATTGGTATACTTAGACCAATATTATTGTGCGTTACATTGAAATACAAAAACAATTTGTGATAATTTGTAAACATTTTTTGTTATTGAACAGACATTATGATCATGCACCGATCCTGTTAAATTTTATCCCGATATGGTTATTTATTAAAGAATTATGTTCGTTTGATATGTTTTAGGAAGTGGACCTTATACGGGAGCTATGGGCAATTATCTACCTATTCAATTTTTTTGTTGGTAATACGATTTATTTGTGGAAATAGCGATATTCAGAGGGAGTTATTAATAAAAAAACCCATTTTTCGGAAGCATGTAAATTTTGTATGAGAGCTACATATAGATATGAAATTTTAAAACGATTTTGAAAAGACTTGTAACAACATTTTTTGAAAAGGCTGCTATAGTTTCTGGAAAAACTAATCAGGTGTTGTTTCGAAATATTCGCATATCTCCATTATTAATGCATCAATTTTGCTAATTTTAAATTGATATCTTCATGTCTGATAACTGGACTCTTCTGAAAACTAAGTTCAACATGTATAACGACAGAAATATGTAAACCAACGGAAATACGTATATGGCTAAATTCAATCTTCCATATATAAGGAATTGGAAAGTTGTATTGTTGAAATTACAAACAAATCTAGTAATAGGTTATAATTTACATAGATAAGAAGAAACACATGTTTTGCATGTCACATATGAAACTTTGACCCACTGCAACTTAGAAAGCTCTTGAGTAAATTGTTGAAAATTTTTTTAAAATACTATCTAATAGGACTAACATTAGTGCAAATTTCATCCCGTATCGGAAGACATCGGTTTCAAAAGTTTCAAATATTTTAATGCATTTTTCTATTTCGATGAAAGAAGTATATGAATGTTTAACAGAACGGTTTCTAAAAGTAATGATGACAACATTAGTACCAAAGTTGCTGTTTAAGAATTCGAAGTGGTTATATTTGCCCTCGGTTTAGAACTAGTCTTTTTTAAACAAAGTCAAAACTTTTTTTTTTGGGTAAATTTATTTTTAAATAATTGAGAGATACGAAGATAAGTGGAGACTAACAGAGAGACAATTGTTGCAAGTGGCTTGGTCAAGGAGGAAATCAAGAATTTTCGACATATAGTTACGGGACCTTTATGGAATTATCTACAACGAAATAGAGAAAATACTTGCTATAGAACTCGATTATGTTATCCTGACGCTTGCAAACCCGTTCAATGCAACTAAGGCTGAATTAAAAATATGGATTAGAGAATCCCAAACGGTGGGTAGAAGCAAAAAAGGTACCCCAACTAAAAGCATGCTCATAATGAGCAAGATTACTGGAACATCAACACAATTGGATTAAGACTAATATAGAGCATGCGGAGAGAAGAGTGAAACATTGGACTACTTTCCCTACCATTGCCAGGCTTTCGTCCAAATTATACTCATATATTTTGGGACTCATGTTATTTCAGACATTAATTCCCTCAAAAACACTGATTGGAAAATTCTAAGGCACTTGTACTTTTAGAAAATTGAGTTTCTGGATATCGAAAGCAGGGCACAACAGGACCAGTAAATAAATATCTTTCTTTCAATCTTACTTATTACAAATTCATTTTATTTTCGATGTTAGTAACTCTCCTCGATATAAAAGTAAGAAAATTTTGATTGCAAGTTTGTTTAATTTTAAACATATTGCACCAAGCCATTATGATATGGACTTTGTTCATTTAACATAAAACTGAAAATTTTATGAATTAATTAAAATTAACACCTAAAATATTTTAGTAGATAAGGGGTCCCCAAAAAAAATATCAAACAAAATTTAAATGCATTTGTCACATTTAATATTTAGTTGTAAGACCCAAAATCATATAGCTTTAACTATTTTGCAATTATTCATATATTTCGATAAAACTTTATTCCTTTATTTTTAAAAAATTGTCTATATAAACTAAATGCAATGCCCGAAATTTCAACAGTTTGTATTTGAACAAATCGTAACAAAAATTGAAAATCGAAAACCATGAACTTTAACAAATATTTTGCTATTTTTGTCATTGCGACCTTGTGCCTGTTGGGTCAACAGGCTGCCAAGGCTCATAGTATTTTTGGAGATTTAAAAAAGGATGTGGTAAGTTGAATTGAAAGGAGTAAAAATCTTAAAGAAATTTATTAAAATTAAGTTTTGTTTTTTGGTACTAGGAAAGGGATGCCCATAAAGTGGGTGCTAAATTGGTGAGTTTGTTTTAATAAAATTAATTTTTAACGAATAATCTAGAATAGTTTGTTTTATTTCTAGGATAATATTGGCGATAAAGTGGTATTTATAGAATACTTAAATATTTTAAAACTATATATTAGGAGTTAATTTAAATTTGAATTTGTTTCTATAGGTAGATGATGTTCATGAAACTGGTGCCAAATTGGTGAGTTTTTTTTTTAATTAAATTTGATTTTTAAAGAATAATCTCGAATAATTCGTTTCATTTCAAGGTCAATATTGGTGATAAAGCGGTAATTACTTAACCTTGTCAAAGGTTGAAATTATTATGAATTAATTTAAATTTTACTTTATTTTCTCCACAGGAAGGAGTGGTTCACGAAACTGGTGCAAAGTTGGTTAATATTGGTGACAAAGTGGTAAATTAGTATAAAAAATTATAAAAATATACTATTATCTCAAGAAATAATATAAATTTCTTTAAACTTTTTTTCCATAGGAAACCAAAACTCATGAAGTGGGTACTAAACTGGTAAATATCTTTTGAAATATTAAGACTTAATATTGAATTTTTATCAAATTAATATTTTTATTATTTCAGGAAAATGATGGCAACAAAGTGGTAAATATTTAGGGCCTTAATCATAATCATTTATCAAGGGTTTATAGAAGAAATTTTGTATGAAAATTTGTTTTATAAAGCTTATCCTAATAATATTTGTTTTTCAATTTATTATAAAGGTAAAGACGGCCAAGAAAGCTTACAAGGTCTACAAAATCGCTAAAACCGTTCAAACAGCTGGCAAGGTTATAGGAGCCGTTGGTACCGTTGTTGGTGTAATTCGAGATGCTTAAACATTTTCTTCTTTAAATATGAAGTTGTTACTGAAGTTTATTTTTAAATAAACAAAATAATATGATTATTGCAAAACTACATATATGTTTTTTTCTTAATAAATGGACTTTTTTTGGAAATTAGATCAGATCGTGTTAGGTACAATATATACATACATACTTATATAGGGAATTTCGTGTCAAGTGATCCAACTTTTAAAATCGATGTCTTCCGATTTGGATGAAATGTTAGTACTATGGGATATTAGGCCAGACACAAATTTTCAGCTCTATCGGTCAAGAACTTCCGGTGTCAGAAAGGATCAAAGTTGGACATTTTGGTCACACAGGGTTTTATTCAAATGAGTGTAACTTTTCACCTATTGGTCCTAGTAAAAATTCTCCAAAGGAGTTCAGATAGCTATTTCTTCATTGTTTCCAAAAAAACGTCTGGCAGTTCATGACCGATAGAGCTGAAAATTTGTGTCTGACCTACTATCCAGTAGTACTAACCTTGGTGCAAATTTCGCCCAAATCGTTTTTTTGAGTTGGGTCCCTTGTAATGAATTTGTTGAAATGTATATTAGGCCATATCACCACGTGGTAGCCAGTAGTGTTCTAATACCGAAAACCTTTATCTCGGGTCGATGGTGACATGTGATTCAACAGAAGTGTCATATATCCAACGAAACAATGCAAACCAAATTTCAGGAAATTCGAGAGTTAATTGGCTACCTTTATCATACGAATCAACGCCAGTGGATTACTTATACTCTACACCACTATAGTGTTTTTAACACCCTAAAATATTGGTCCTACACTTTCTGAATATATTAAGATATGTCCGTCGATTCGTCCATCCATCCATCCGTTCGTCCGTCTGTCTGTCGAAAGGAAATTTGGCACATAGTTTTCTCTTGACCCAAGGACAAAGTCTATTGAAAATGGTTGAAATTGGTCCATTTTTTCACATAGCCCCCAGACAACCGTACCCTTAGAATAGGGCTTTTGAGCTCACAACTATGTTAAATGTTTTAGTAATTCTACAAAAATCAGAATTACTTAGTTTTGTATAATTCTAAATGTTACTGCCAATTTTCGTAATGATGGGGGCTCATTTGACCCTAGCCCCCTTACAAAGTCCCCTACAGAAAATACTTGAAAGTCAATAATTCACTTATAAATACTAGTATCACTATAAAATTCAGCATAAATAACTTTAATGTAAACGTAAATCCCTCTACCAACATTTATAAGGATATTCCCATATTTACCATTGCCGCCGTATAACACTTTTTACAGAAAATAATTTTTTTGTCAACAAATTGTTTAAATTTGGTGTTGAGTATCATATGGTTGAGCATATGATTTGATTTTTAATTATGAACAATTACAAATAAAAGTTGTAGGGTTAAACGTAGATACCCTATTTCACATTCAATAGTCCTACCTACCCCTCGGCCTTTCCTTGGAACGATTTGACATGGGGTCTAACAAGAGAACCTCATAATCTGGTACTACGGGTGGCCAGCTGCCCACCGGACTTGTCCTGGCTGGTCAGTTGGTTGAGGTTCTTCGGGATCCACGTAGTGCCTGTGGTTTAATCCCAAATTCGCGGGGAGAGATTGTTGGGCTGATATACCCTATATATAATGTGTTGGCTAATTCTCTATTCAAATGACACAGGTCTGTGTACAGAGCAGCATATGCTGAATTCCTAATCCCGATCGGTATTTCTTACCGGTCGTGTAGTAGCCGGTATATGCTTGGGAATTATCAGGTTAACATTAAGTAGTTGCCTGTCATTCCGTGGAAAGATCTTTATGATCATGGGAATGGAACTGATGCGAAAATTGGTGAAAGATTGGGAAAATCTCCATATATTGGAGGCTAGTACTGATTAAGTATGCCTTTTTACGCTTCGGGGAAGTTTCTCTGTGATATTGCCATCTCAACAGGATATATTGATTTATGCTACTCGACTATTTGTCGGGGCAATTATTGGGTTCAGTTGACTTTGGAAATTCTTCCATTCTTTGTTACAGATCGGTTCATGAAGAGAGATCCTGATTTATTATCTTGGGTATTTTGGGCTACCAAATACGTCTCTAGTTGCTGTTGCCAAACCAACAGAAGCCATCTCAGTAGTGTGGTTGGGCGACTTAAAAGAGGTTCAGGAGTGCACTGGGGTGAGTCTTTAGATGATGAGAATGTTTAGGGTGTTTTCACCTGATGTTGGGTACGCCCCCTGTATTGACTCTAACTAGTGATTGCCTTTTCCTTTGTAGGAGTTAGATTGAGCTTGCTCATGACAACTGTACTTCCCCAACGGGGCTACTGGTAAGAGATTAGATAGCTCGAGTACTTCAGCAAAGTGCTTGTACATGGACCGGCTCAGCCATGCACAAAAATTGGCACCAGATTTCTTTATTGAAGATTGAAGGGGCGATGGTAGACCGTTCTCAAAGCTACCCAGTGGTTGAAAAAGACCACTGTGAGATAGGTCAACACGGCAGGTACTCACGTAAAGGACTTCGGCATTATGTCCTATCTACCGAAGTCTTAGATTCTTGCTAGGAACCAGATTAATATACATATGTACTTTTGTTGGTCTATGACCTGTATTTCAATGTATCATGATGGCATAAAGATATTAAACAATGAAATATACACATATTTTGTTTCTATTATTTTATTTTATAAATTTCATTTTTTGTATAACAAAAAATAATTTATATTTTAAGCAGCAGCTACCACTCCAGCAATGGCACCAGCAGCAGCAACTACCTTTTTAGCGGTTTTAATATGACCAACTACTTTTTGCACCTTCTTGGCAGTCTTGTGAACTTCATGACGGGCATGTTCCTAAAGAAAATTAATAAATAGAAGACAAATTTCCAAAAATTTTCCCGATTTCAACTCACCAGTTTATGGCCCACTTTATGAAGAGATCTTTCCTAAATTCAATGGAAATAGAAGAAAATATATAAAAATAATTTGAAAATTTTCATATTTTACGTACCACTTCATGGCCTACATGACCAAATAAATGATGATGTGCCTCGGCGGCATGTTGACCCAAAAGACACAAGACCACAATGGCGAAAATGGTAAAATATTTATTAAAGTTCATGTTTTAAGGTATTTCCAACAATTGGCGAAGTTAACTGATACAAATTTTGGAATTGAATTCTGTTTATATACCGAAATTGGAAATATTTTGTAAACTTCAAAAATATTGGTATTATTTTTTATCAAAATACTTTTAATGGCTTTAAAATAAATAAATTCTTAATTTCCATAAAAAGTTTAAGCTATTAGAAATTTAACAGACTAAAAAGTCTTTGTTACTTTTCTAATTTGTAGGAACTGATAAAGTTGTTAGTGTGTATCGATTTTTTAACTTACAAACTTTTATCAATGAATTATATATAGGTATGAACTGAAGTGTAAAAATACGATTTGCAAACTATTAGCATGTGCTCTAAGTATATGACCACTGTAGCAGTTTTTCATGCTATTGCTGAAATATTCATTTTGATAGCAAAGTTACTCGCACAAAATTTAAGAGCTCTAACTATTATAGCTTTCAAGATATATGATGATTCGATGTATTTACTTCATAGGAAAGGTGCCGCATCAATCATTGCTAAAAGTTCCCCGGGATATCAAAGTTGTAGTTTCATCTTTTAATATTTATTTTGTATGTGGAAATGGCGCTTCTCCCATGTTCATGTGTTCCTTATTTTGGGATTTTCTTTAAAGTTATTGGATGGTCTTTGACTTCTTGAAAAGTTTTTACATTTTGTTATTTAGAATGACAAGTTTTGGAGATTTTTTAAGTTAGAAAAACACCTCCGATTAGACACTTTAGAAATTAAATATGAGAAAATCGAGAAAACCCATAATCGTAAACACTTTTTGGTTAAACGTTTTTATTATACCCACCTTCAAAAAGAAGGCGGAATATTGATTTTGTCATTCCGTTTGTAACACATCTAAATATTTGTTATAAACCCTCAAATGTATATATAACCTGGGTCCTTATTAAACGTCCGAAAGAAAGGAACAAGGGAGTTGAAATTTTCCACAAATATTTCCTACACAGAGGGAAGAAGAAATATACACGCCTGGTACCAAATTGACACCAAACTGTTTATAATTTTTCAATACCATCCGTTGTCAAAGTATACGACAACACTATGTAATGTTGACAACATTGCAACAATTCGTTGTCGAAATCTAAATTTTATACACATCCGTTAACTAACAATCCGTTGCCACGTTTGTTAACATTTAGACAACGGATGTGTATAAAATTTAGATTTCAACAACGAATCGTTGCAATGTTGACAACGTTGCATTGTCCTTATTAAATTCTAAGACGATCTGGCCATGTTTGTCTGTCTGTTGTAAGCATGATAAAGTCCGAGCGGAAGGAACAAGTGAGTTGAAATTTTCTATATACTATACTCCCTATAGGTAAGTGTTGTTTTGGTATTGCAAATGGCCAATATCGTGACACTTTTTCGCATAGCTCAGTCTGTCTGTCTGTTGAAAGCACGAACAAGAGAGTCCTTCGGTTCGGACTGTAAATTTTCCACAAATACTCCATATAAGTAAGTTTTATTTGGTATTATAAAAGGGCAATAACGGTCCACATTTTCGCATAACTCCATCCGTCTGTCTGTTGGTCTGTCGGTCTGTCTGATGGCTGAAATAAACATGTTGAAAGCTTCAACAAGAGAGTCCTTCGGCTGAGACTGTAAATTTTCCACAAATATTCCATACATTCCATATTACATACATAAAGTTGATTTGGTATTGTAAATGGGCAATATCGGGCCACTTTTTCGCATAGCTCCCATACAAGTGACCCTCCCCCAAAAAAACTGTTTTAACGGTCATAACTGTTTTAACGGTCATAACTGTTTTAAAAGTACCAGTTCAACGACGGCCTAATTAAGTTGCATACGAAGCTCAATCTTCATAAAAAATTTTATTAGTATCGGTCCATTGACCCTACTTCCATAATAGGTCACCTTCAGAAAATTACTTCTACGCTCATGACGGAATTAAAGATACGAGTATA